CTGCCTCCCTGCCAGGCCTGGCCCCGAGATGAGAAAGAGGAGGCTCAAGGCTGGAAACCTGCCCCCCTGCCCCCCCGCACCGAGGCCCCTGGGGTGCTTGGGTTTGCCAGGGCTCGGCAGCACCGGATGGCGGGCAGAGCCGTGACGCGTCCGTCCGGGCACATGGATCGGGAGAGGAGGAACCTCTGACCCCAAAAATGAACAACCCCCCTGTCCCTGATGGGGTGCAGGGATGGACACCCCGGTCACCCCCTGCCACACTGGGTTGGTGGGGACGGCAGCCCCCACTCCCAACCCACCCAAGAGTGGGGGCTTTGGCCCATCCGCTGCGGCCCCAACAGCTGCTGAGCTGGGCCCCAGGTTAGCACCAAGACACAGTGAAGCCGGGAGGAAATCAGAAGCCACGGCCGTTAGCCGGAAGCCATGCGCTGCTGTGAGCCGGTTCCGCGGCACCTGCGTCTTGGCCGGGACAGCTGCCGGGGCTCCCGCTCCCCCCGGCTGCTCACAGCCCCCAGCTTCCTACAGCGGCCCTTGGGGCCTGGCTCGTAGCGCCCTTCATTTGGGAAAAGCCCAAGCATGGGAATGCAGAAGTCCTGGGGGAGAGCCAGGAGTGTTGCGTTACCCAAAAACTCACCCCATGAAACTCCATCCAGGTCCGTGTGATGTGGCTGTCCGGAGTCTTCACACTTCCAGGCACCACTCCACGGACAGGAGCCTTCAATCCCCTCTGTTTTATTTTGCCCAGGACACCCAGGCCATCCCCCCAACACCAGGGCTCATCTTGGTGCAAACCCCCCAGCCCCATGCACCCCGCTGGGACCTGGGTGTGCAGGGCTCCCGTGCAGAGCCGTGCCCTCGCCACGCTCCGGGCAAAGGCCACGTGTGGCCGCGGGAGGTCTGATGGCAGAGATGCCCTCTGCGATGGCACCCGCCTCCGTGCCCTCCCCGGCTGCTGCTCCTGCTCCAGACAAGCCTTGCTCTGCCCCTCGGGAAAGCGAACCTGTATTTCCAGTCCCATAACTGCACTGAGACCCAGCGGGGGGGGGTTTATAGTTTCTAGATGCTCTTTGGCCAGGGAAGTGCTCAGAGCTGAAGGCTCTCAGAGCTCCCAGAAGTGGCTGAGCTCGCTGGCACCCTGCTGGGGAGTGGGGCTGGAAGGATACAGCAAACTGTACTGGTGCCCATGGAGCTGTCTGGCCAGAAAAAATGCCTGGCTGAGCATCACCTCCACACGCTGATGTTTGCTGCAGAAGAAATGAGGCAGCCAGGAGCTGGTAAAGGTCAAGACCATTGCTCAGCCTCCTCTGCCTGCCCAGGGCTTGGCACTGCCTGCAGGGGCACCCTTGGGTGCCAGCCCCTGAGCTGCTTAGCCCCAGACCCCCATGCTGGTACCACATGTTTCCCTGCTTCCTTGGCCTGGACTAGAGAGAAAATCCCCATGAGTAATATCCCCCCCATGGGGTACAGCCTCTTGCTGAGCCCCAGCCTTGCCATGGCGCTGGAAGGATGCTGGTCTGGCTGTGTGGTGAGGTCCCAAGTGCTGTCTCTGTCCCGGGCTCCGCGGGAGAGGGGACACATATCAGAGCCACTCACCGGCTCCATGGCAGTTCTGCAAATAGCACTGAATGGTGGCTGAGTGCTTTTCCCCAACGCTGCTGCTGTCTGCCTGACTTATCATGAGGTCCTGGGGCCACCCAGGTAGGACACAAACTGACTGCTCCCCGGGAGAGCAGGGCCACTCCAAAGGCGGCTTTCCAGGTGCGATGCAAAAGGCTGTGCTCAGACACAGCCCCACTCAGGGTTTGTGATGTCAAGCCTCATCCATCCTCCATCTCCCCCAGCAGCCCAAAGTGTGCCTGCTCCCAGCTTGCTGGCAAGCACACAGACACACTGGGCCCCTCATCCAGCAGCATCAAAGCAAATTCTTCCAATTCTTTGTGTTTAGCATCATTTGGAATCATAGAATCATCGACTATGATTACCCAAATAAAACTGCTCCCCCAAGGGTGAGCAAGGTTGCACAGCCCAGGGACCAGGGATTGAGCTCTTACCGTAAACCCAATGCCCACGGTAGCGGAGAAGGAGCCAGGAATGAACTTGCCCTGGTCAAACTGGACCAGCAGAGACGTCTTCCCCACGCCACTGTCTCCGACCAGGATCGTCTGCAAAGACCCGGTAAAGAGGCGTCAGCACGCAGGAGAAGGCAATGCCCGAGCCTGCAGGCACGGCGTGCAGCCAGGGCTGGGAGTTTGGGGAGGGGGTGCTGGGGGGATACAGCAGTGAACACAGAAGGATCAGGAGGGACCAGCCCAGATCCAGATCACAGCGGAGCTGTGGGCCCCGTGGGAGCCCCATGGCAGCCCCCCCTGCACAGCCCTGCTTGGCAGCAGATTGTCCCCACAGGCTGCTGGATGCCAGTGCCACTCTCCTGCTCTTTGCTGTCACCTTTGGTCCTGCCACCTGCCCAGGGAGAGATTTCCACCCCTCTGACCAAGTTTGTAATAAATTAAATGTGCTCTGGGCTGAGCTTCAGGCATAAGCCCCACTGTGCCCTCTCGGAGTGCAGAGAGGAGGAAGAGAGAGCAAAGCACAGCCCATCACGGAGCTTGAACAGGAGAGATGCTCCTGCCCCGGCTGGAGAAGTTGCCGGGCAGAGGCAGCATTGGCTCGCACAGCCCTGGTGGAAAACCTCTTTGGGAGGACTTCGGCGGCGCTGGATTAAGTCCAAAAGTGTTTAGTAAAGAGAGCATATCCCACAGCTGCTGCACACACCCACGGCCACGCAGCCTCCCCGGGGCACCGGGCTGTCTTCATGCTGCATTAACACCCTGGACCTGCAGCGCTCCCCCCGCAGAAGGGTGCTGGGTGTGAAGTCAGAGAACCCTTGCAGACCCTCAGGTCCCCGAGCAGAAGGGACAAGGGTGCTGTGCAGGTGTCAGAGCTGGGGCACTGCCATCACCTCCCAAGCAGCTCCCAAGTTGCCAGCTCGTGGTCCTGCTACCCACACCGCACCCCTGGGGAGCTCATCCTCCCTTCTGCCCCTGCCCGTGTTCCTCCAAATCCTCAGCCTAAGGGAGACCAACAGTGCAAATGCAAACCCCTCCCTCCCCTCTCTGCCCGTATCTGGGTTTTGTTTGCAAAGCCACTGGCGCAAACATTTCCATCCTTTCAGGAAACCGAGGCACTTTCAACCCTTTCACACGGACACAAGTTCAAATAAACACTCTGCTAACTGGCTTCTTGCTCACAAGTGGTTTTGGCTCTGTCCTTCCGGACTTGGATGTTCCTGTACCTACAGCCCTGGCAAGTGCTGAGCCTGCCCAGGGGCAGTGTTCCCCCTGTCACCAGTCCCCTGTCACCCCCGAGGCTGCAGAGCTGAGCTGGCGAGGTGCTGGGGCTGCACCTCCCCACTCTCTGTGTTTGTCTTTGGCACACTTCGCTGCATCTGTTATTCCCCCCTTGATTTGTGTTTAGTCCCGCGCAGCTCCGGCAGCCCTGCTCTGTCTCAGGGTACCTCAGCCCTTTGTCCCCACCCAGGGGTGACATCATGAAGGTCACTCTTCACTTGCCAAGTGGGAGCTGTTGCTTCAGCATCTTCCTGACAGCCAGGGGAGCCTCCACATGTGGCCGGTCCCATCCCTGCATCGCCTCCCTTGCTCCGAGGGGCCCCGGGGTGAAACCCAGCCTAGCACCACTTCAGGCACAGTGCGTACCCCCTTGTGAAGTGCAGGACAAGTGAGGAACATGTTTAACCAAGTGCTCAAAGAGCTTTGTCAGATCAAGACCTGATCGTGTCCCAGGAGGCTGTGGGGGATCCAGCCACCAGGCACATGCCACAGCACCCAGCACTGTGGATTCCTACCACCCCACAGACCCCGAAGGAGTGGGCTGAAACCAAAAGCCAAGGAACTTGAGGATCACAACCAAAGCAGGAGCATGGACTGGCAGAAGACCAGCATCCTGCCTTGCATAAATCACCTCACCACAACCTTCCTGGAGCCTGATAAGCTTCACTGAAACACTTGTTTCAGTGAATCAGCGTTTTCTCTCAGAAAAAAATATCCCAAACCGCAAACATCTCCTGGGAAAACCCTGACCTACCAAATGGAGCTGTTGGCAGGAGGGAGCCCTGCACCTCTGCAGGGTGAAAGGCAGTGGTATGGGGCCAGGTCTGCAGCTGGAGATTTCTGTGCCCTCCTTAACTAGACATCGGGCTGTTTGCAGGTCACTTGTACATTCAGAGCAGCCTCATGGGGTGGGACCCTGCACGGGAGCTGTGGGGATGTTGAGAAGCAGAAATCTCTGAGCAAAGCCCTTGCACATGGATTAGAGGAGCCAGGTCACACTTTTTGCTGGGGGGAACTTCCCTGCCCAAGCCCCTCTTGGCTTTGCCCTGGGTCTCAGACACGTTTCCCCATGCAGAGGGCAGGGTCTGCCCTGGAGCAGCCACATAGGAAAACACCCTCAGAGTTCGTTACTGTGGGGCTCCTGCACCCCAGTTTTGCATTCTTTAGTACTACACACTATTCCCAGGTAAATACTGATGCTGGGAAGTGCAACAAGACCAGCTGAACCCTGCAGCATTGTCTTTGGGAGCAGTTAATGCAGAGAATGGCATTAATTATGGAGGGAGGAGAGCTGGCTGGAATGAACACCAGAAAGCCTTCAGAGCCCAGGATTTACAGAGAACATGTATAAAAGGCAGAATCCTTTATCAATAATTTAATTGGGATTTATAATAGAGCAACTCATGAATTGCTTCATGACTTAATAATAATAGCAAAAGTTGGCCTGAATCAATCAAAAGACTTTCCTAATGACTTTAGGAAAATGCCACTGGCTCTGTGGAGGTACAGCACTGTGGAAAACACCATGGTCTTCCTGGCTACAAAATAAACACAAAATAAGAAGGAAACCTGGCCAAAACCAGCAGAGCTGCTTGGTGACAGTCCCAAGACACCACAACTGAGCCCCAGCACAATCAGAGCGATTCTTGTTTCCAGGTACAGGGAATTATTTCCACAGTGTGGGCAGAGGTAGCCACACTTCACCACCCCACAGCTCGCCTGCTCCACAGCCCCAGCAGAAAAGCGGGTACAGCTTGTCACACACCTCCCCACACCACCAAACCGAGCAGACATGTCTGACAGCTCTGCCTTAGGGAAAGAGCAAATATCTCTCCTCACACCTCTAATTAGACGAATTCTAGACGAATCACCTCTCTTCAAAATCATTGCTGGCTCAGTGTAGGTTGCAGAGACAAGGCAGAGCGATGGGGCAGTGAGGGCAAACCCGCTCAGACCTCCCCTACCCGTGCTGGCAGCCAGCAAGCAGAGAAGATATTTTGGTCCAATCTGCCTAGGGAAGAGAGGTTTTGCACGGCTGTCAAGGCAGCGTAGAGAAGCAATTGCTGCATTTCCAGTGCCAGTCAAGCGGGAGGAGATCTAGGATAGCGTGTGTGGATTGAGGTTATCTTCCCAGTTTATTTTGGAGCTTTAGCAAGTTGTAGCTGAATCTGAGCTAAAATGTAACTGGCAGGAGCCTGACAGGGTAAAACCCTAGTCCTGGGGGGATGCAGGGAGGGGAGAGATGCCCTCCAAAGGCTCTGCTGCTGCTCTCAGAGTGCTGTTGAAGCCCCAGACCCAAAGGTTTGCTCTCAGAATTTGTCACAACAAAGTGGGGCAACTGTGTATGTGCACCCCAGCACAGCTGCCTGCAGAGCTCAGCCAGGACGTGGCACTGGGAGAGGTCTGAGAGCAAAGCCACAGCTGGTTTTGGCCCCTCGCCACCCCACTGCCACAGTCTCTCAGGGATGCATTACTGAGACTTATTTCTACTTGCTCTACATACAAAAGTGTGCTGCCTTTCCCTACTCCAGGGCAACTTTGAGGCTGCCTCGAGCTGTCCTGTGCCACAGGGACACCTCAGGGATGTCCCCACCCTGCCCAGGCGCTGTTTTACCATGGCCAAGCCCCTTACGCTGGCTTGAGCCAGAGCTCAGGGCCCTCTGCCAGCCCTGCTGGGCCCTTGCCCTGGCAGAGGCCGTTTTTCAGCCATGTAGACATGAGCTCTAGGGCTGCACATCAAACAAAAACTGGCTCAGATCACACAGGGGATCCCTGTTTGCAAACACCCTTCTAGCACCTTGGATCGACAATAGCCATGGGGCACATCTCTCTCCCCCTGGGGCTTGTTCCAGCTAAATGGATCCAAGCACCCTACAGGAGGAAGAACAATTTGGCAATGGGTCAAATCACCTGAAAGAATCCAACATTTTGTGCCAAGTGAAATTTTTCTGGAACAGCCCAGAACAAATCTCTGCTGTTCCTGTTTTGATTTACTCCTGGCTCGTTTCCTCTCCTGGCCTGGGTTTAGCCACCAACCAGAAACCACTTAACCTTTGCCTCTAGAGTGCAAAACTCTCTTGGGGTTTCTCAGCACATCTGAAATGTGATTCCTTGCTCAGAAACAAGATCTAGCAAGGTATTTGCTGCCTCACATCCCTGGAGCAAGAGCAGGATTGTTTTTGCATGACAAGCAACCCAGCCAGGAGTGGCAGCAAAATACCAAGGAAAACATCAGAGAACATGGGACTGGGATGGTTATTTGCCCGGGCAGCTCTTCTGCCCAGAGACTCATTTCCACCAATGTCGTTCCTTAGCTGCAGCAGCTCGTTGCTGGCAAAGAGAGAGTTAAGGTTTTGCAAAGAATCAAAGTTTCTTGAGTCATCCCTGGAGGCATGTCCTACGTACTCCATGTACAACAGAAATGAGTTGCTAGTAATTGATATTTTCCAGCTAATCAAGGGCTGGGCACATTGCCCTGAGTAGAGCAGGACATAAAATAGTCGGGGATTTGTGAAGAGGGATCCACACAGGCCCAGCCCTTTCCCCTGCCCTGCCCTACCCCTGCTTTTCCCCTGCTCCCCAGGGGGGCCGGTCCCTGCACAGTCACTGGGCACTGCAGCAAAGCAGCATGAGGAAAGAAACAAGAAGTGATGGGTGGATCTGGCAGAGATCAGCGTCTCCTCTCTGTCTCCTGGAGTTGCAGGGAGCAAAATACCGGCTCCAGCAGAGTCTAAACCACCCAGGTCCTGCGGACACAGCAGCAGCCCCAGCCGCCCTCCATGCAATGTGGAGTTATGAAACACAGTTCCAGGGACCCAGCAGAAGGATTTTAAAGC